CATATATAATGGAAGGACAGATGACAGAGTTTATAGTCGCAATGCATTAATACTTTTCTGATAATTTAACAATAAAAATTATTGCTTTGAACTTTGTAGCATTTGGACGTTATAAAATGTGTAAACGTTATTCACACTCACACATCTTAGGAAAAGCTTTTAAGGAATAAATACTTAAAATTCATTAAAAAAAAAAAATACATTTATTCTAACCACTTAACCTAAAGTTGTTGCGCCATTATTTAAAATCCTAACTTTTGCAACTAATCGTCAACTCGATTTCAAACAGAAATATTTTATCAGGATAAAATAAAACATAAACTACTCAAATAGACGAAAAGGTAACAATTTTTTAAGTATTATTGTTGTAGAAAACAACGCTTATCTATTCACCAAAGCACACTGAACTCGTTTTAGATTTCCTTTTAGCTACACACGCCAGTCCTGATAGTATTTTCCAAGAAATAGTTTATTCGCTTAACGGGAATTTATAAATTAAAAGTCTATCAAAATTAGTAATTTTTGCCAATTATTTGCATAATATACATATAGATACATATCGAGTCCAAGCGATAAATTATCGAACAAAAAAAAATTATTGTTGCAAATAGATTACAAATACTAGCTACAACGTCCTACAAAATCGCAGACTTTAAATATCGACGCCACCTAACCATACCACGCTAAGACACCTTTTATGTCATTTTTTCTGTTATGTATATTTTTTCCGCAATTGAATTAGATTTTCAAATTTGTTATTTATATGTACATATTTAAATTGAAATAATTATATAGACTTATGGGCAATTTCACGAAAGCAATTTAAGTGAAAAATGATGACAGAAGATAGAAATTTAAAATTGCTAGTGCAACCGGCTGTTAAATTGATTTAATTTAAAAAATCTTAACCCCCTCAAAGCGGACTCGAAAAAATGAAATGGCTGAAAATATCAAAATATAAAAAAATATCGAAATATACGCCATAAAAAGGCGTTTGCATTGATCAAACTTTGCATTCTACTTTTGGTTGAATGGCCTTTCAACTAATCGATTTCAACAAAGTTGGTCGCCAGCCAACATTTGGTCATTCGACTTTTTTTTCGCGCGACCCTGGGGGAGTTTAACGCAAAATCGCCTGGTGCCGAACACCTTTTAACCATGTTTAACTGGGGATTAGTGTTAACTAGAGTTGGTGAAACCGGTGGTTAGAATTGCGGTTACAAGAAGTGATGTTATTATTTTATCCAAGTCAATTTTTCAAAATTCAAAATGACAGATCCAAAATGGCCATAAATTGTTTAAAAAATGATTGGATTGGTTCGAAACCCGGCACTCGGGAGTTTTTGGGGTCACTGACTATGAAATTTTAAGTTAATTTTTTTTTTTTAATTCAAAATGTCGGATGCAATATGGTGATCAAATTAAAAAAAAAAATACTAAAATTAAAACGTTGATATCATTTTTTCTGGTCTAAATTTGATCAAAATAAATAGAATAAATCGCTTCACTTTGCCAATGGTGGAATGCATAATGTTTTCGAATTATTGGTTTTATTCCATATTGGTACTTTGATACCTAAAATTGATAAAAATTGATAAATATTGATACATCTTAAGTCTCTTCTCTGCTACAATTTTTCACAAGCCCGCGGTCACACTGGTCTTGACAGTCCTACAAGAAGGAGATATGGTAAATAGATTGCTTGTGTTTTGAAAATTTTAATTCTTGCAAGTATGCAAATTTTGAACTCCTGATAAACTTTAAAGAAACGGGTACACTGCTTATGATTTTTAAATTTTTGTTTCAAACTATCCCTAGGCTATTATGAGCTACATTGATATTAATTATAATTAACATAGAAACATGTGTTTACTGATATGTTTGTATATATAAATTTCTATTATTCTAACTTTCGTTTTTAAAACCTCTGCATGAATTGATGCATAAACTAAGTATTTATGTACATATGGTATGTATGTATGTTTGACTCTATTTTGAGATCAAATAAAATTTGATTACAATTTTAATAACATATTGAAGATATTTTCCACTTTTTAGAGCAATGTAAGTAACAGTTGACATAGATGTGAAATTTAATTTTAAAATATGTACATGCAGATATGTATATACATGCATATATAATAGTTAAGCTAGTGCAACAAATATCATGTATTTCATATAATAACAACTAATTTTCATAAGTATGTAAGTATGTTTTTATATACAACACCTGAGAACTTAGAATATCCTTCACAACAATTCCCTCTACTTTGTTACACTCAATAAAGCACACACGAAAAAGTATAGTTAGTGGTTTAAGTACATATGTATGTAGGTATGTACATTAGGGTGGTCCAAAAACAGTTAAGTTGAGATTATAAGACTCTCACCCGCTGGGATTGCTCTATATCGAAAAAAGTGCACCCCTATTTTTTATTTTGAAATCAAAAAATATTTAGAGGTCGCTCAACGCGCTCAAAGTTTTCCAGGTGTTTTTATATGGGGGAAAAAAATAACTTTTCGTAGAAATGGTATAGAATTCTTGAAATCATTATTTTTCGATAGGAAAACTGTGGTTCTCTTCAGAAGACTTTCAATAATAATACCCAATTATTTATTCAACCACTTTTTAATACTAACGATTTTTTATTGGTCGCCCTTTTGCATTTTTCGGGGTTTTTGTGGGTTTTTGGGCACCTACATATTATAGTTGCGATGAAAAAATGGTTAAATAAATAATTGGGTATTATTACTGGGAATTTTCTGCAGATAAACAGAGTTTTCCGATAGAAAAATATTTTTTTTTTTTTTTTTCAAAATAAAAAATTATGGGTAGGGGGTGAGACCATAAAAATTTCGGCTTTACTTTTTCACCTGCATTTTTTAACCACCCTAATGCACATACGTAGTAGATATTTACCAAAAAGTGTTTGATAATTTAAGCCAACAATAACAAGTGCGACTAGTGCGTGTGTGTTTATGCGCAAGATTACTCGCATCAACTAAAAACAAAAAAAAAAGAAATTGTTGCAAGCAAGCGCATATGTATGTAGTTTGAACGTAGATAGATTTAACTTTCGTTTTATTTAGACTTTTCCGTAACTTAATGCTATTTTTAAATTTAGTGTTCAACATTAAATAGTTTACTTTAAAAGTTATTACAATAGTTGTTTTTTTTTGCTTAATTTTTGTTTGCTGAAAAGCACATAAAACTAAAAAACAAATATGCAACACTGGTAACACTAGACAAAAATAGTTTTTAACCATACATAGTATACGTATGTATGTATGTATATTAAATTTAGTTTCTCTGTTGGTTTGTTTGCATACTTCTGCATGCGTTGATATGTATTTTTTTCATAAGCATAATTACATAATTGCCTTTAGTTCTACATAGATACTTATCCAACTGCTTGGCGAGCATTCCTTTAAGTTTATTACATTTGTATGGATATGTGTGCAGAGATGTTAATGTCTGTAGCATACGTATGTATGTATGTTGTTGTAGTTGGTTACCCGTAGCACTTTCTCTAATATTCTTAATTTTCATACATGTTTCTGTGTTTAAACTTAAACTCAATTATGAAGAGTTTTCGAATTTTAAAATACTTTTACAACATTTTGCTTACTACATTAACATGTATTACATAATTATAATTTTGAGTTCGCCTAATTTTTATGTATGTATGTATGTGTGTGTGTGTGTATGTTAGTTTGCATGTGCTTAAAAGGCAGTATTATCATGCTCAGCAGTTGGCACAGCCATACCTTGTCCGACGCCACCGCCGCCACCACCGCCACCACCGCTACCACCTCCCCCACTGCTGCTGTCACTGCCGCTGCCACCTTTACCCGTCGCTTTGCTCAACATCTTCTGCACTTGCGCCTGCGCTGTCTGCTGATTCATGCGTTTAGCCTCGGCAACGGGCAGGTCATCGTCGGACTCTAGCGCCGGATTAATGCGACCGTTACGCTCATCTTTGCCGGCCATAGTGGCGGCACCATAGGAACGTGCCAATGGACCAGCCATAACAGAAAGCTGAATTAAGTATAAAATATTTTATATCAATTATCTATTTATTGGATATTATTTTATCGCGTATTAAATTTAGAAATATTTATTACAAGCTTTTTAAGTTTAACCTGTGTGTAATCAAAATTTACATCCAATTTTCAACCAACTTTCCGATGAGTTAGACACTTGAAACCAGGTGGCGAGGTGCCGAGATATTTGAAAAACCCATAAGTATTTATGGTTGGAAAGGAGCTGGAGGTGCAACGGCGACTGCGGTATTTTGTTGGCCTGCTTCTCGAAGAGAGTTCTATTATTTCAGGACTAAAAAACGGTTTCATAACTAAAAACGTGACCACAGGCACTTTCCAAGGAGATGTTCTCTCCCCTCCAGTCTGCTAAATGACACTAGTTGCCAAGTCATCGCGTATGCTGATGACATTACAATCGTAGGAACGGGCAAGCATCTGCAGGTCCTGAGTGAGATATTATAAAATGCTAATAGTCTTGTAAACATTTAGTCTAATGAATATGGGCTTAGCGTCTGTCCTACTAAGACCGACATGGTACTATTCACGAAGAGATATAAAATTCCTCTAATCATAGCCGGCGAGCTGGTAAATAGAGGGACAAAAATATCCGAAGTCAATTCTACTCCGGCAAATAGGGTTTAAAGACTTACCTCATCAATGAGGTAATTACAATAGGGGGCTTCTGTGCGTAGAAGGCAATGAGAAGGTAACACTTTTTGGCAGAAAAGAAAACGGCATCAGATTAGTAGTCGGGGTAATCACCGGAGGTTGGGATCCCCAACCACGACTTTTGTCGTAGCTGCAGAGACAAAGACTTTTAAGATTTTAAGAGGAAGAGAAACAAATGGCTTCCGCCAATGGTAACACAACGTCACTCATTGTGTCCCACCAATTTGAACACAACACATTTTATAATTGCAACAAGTACAAAAGCATTTTTTTGCTCAGGCATAAAAGAGAAAAAGAATTTTTCGATTGCGTATCCGAAATATTTCAGACCGATCCTATTAAATACCCTCAGTAGACTGACTGACTAGTAAATAAGAAACAGAATTCCTGAGGATCGACTGAGAGAGAATTTAACTTGAATATTTCCCGCATGCTCTAGGACAGCACGGTCGTAACGGATTTGGCTGTGCCTCCGTCCAGTGTAGAGAAAGTAGAAATACTCTGCAAGGGGCATTCTCTCACCCTTTCTCTCGGCCGTCATTAACAATGACGTCCTGAATGACCTGGAAAGGGGAGGCTGTCGGGCTATCGGCTATGCTGAAAGTTTCTATATATTCTTGGCCAGGGGCACTTAAACACATAAGTCGCAAATTGGTCGGTGCTGTTAATCCCGACAATACTGAGTTCGTCTAGTTCATCAGGGGAATACAAATTGTTTGCTGCTCATTTTCCTTCATGGATGGCGTTTCACTTGTGCTCTCTGGTCAAGTATTTAGACGTGGGCAGGAAATTGTTTCAGAAAGCAAATATTGGCGACCGAGGAAATTGCATTGAGCAGAGGTTCGCTACAACGGTAATCTATTGTCGCTTTGAAACCATAGTCAGAACGTAAAAAAGTCTACATTAGTTAAAAAGTTAAAGCGCGTGCAAAGGCCTGGCCTTGTTGTAATCAGCGGCACGCACCAGGGCATAACTATTCTTGGGTTCTCCTTTTACCCGAAGTATAGGCACTTAACCGTCTTTGCAAAGTTCCACTTCACATCTGAAGAAATGGAACGTGCAAACCCATGCAGGCTCCAACTGGAATATATTCTACTCACCTCCCTTTAAGGAGTGAATATGAGTGTGGCAGTTTCTGGAACAGAGAAGTTCAATAAACATATTCACGGCTGGGTCCAAGTTTGTAGAGTTGAAGGAGGTTTGTTCAACTTTCTACTAAAATTTTTACTCTAACAGCGATAATCAGAGCTCTAAACTTGCATATGGTATGATCGAAAGTGGTCAGGTAATGTCCGACTTCTCTTTATCGTTAGGCCTGAAGTACTTCCAAATAAAGCTGATTTTTCAAGGTCATCCGTTTTGGCATGGTAGGGTAACATACACTCTTCTTGGGCAGAGCGCTAGGCGAACACCTCGACATGAAAAGTTGCCGGGTGCCGGGTGCCGACTGCCGAGTGCAGGTAGCCAACAGGGCTTCTTCAAGCGCTGAGCAAATGAAATTTCACGAAAAGAAAGGGAGAAGACAACAAAGTGAAAGGGGAAACAAGAATAAAAACGAGAGGAAATGAGAAAACTGCAAAATTTACACCGCATTGATTTGGGTATAGCGCGCGCTGTCATTCGTTGGCATTGGAAAACGAAACGCTCGACCGAAATGCTTTCAACACTTACCTGCTCCCCAGCTTCTGACGGCTCTCCCACTCTTTGTACATCTTCAGGAATATTCACTACACAACGGAAATAGTCGTAACTCGGTGGTAGTTTACCCGATTCGAAAATCATTCTGAAAAAAAAATTTAATTTCTGCATTAAATATTTCGAGCCTCTCTCAAATCTGTATGCCTACTTTGTCCACCAAGAGACTCCTATCAGTGTTATCAGACTCATTATCATGGCCGTGGTGCGGAAGGGGAATAACTGAGTTTGTGACTCCTCATCATAGCCGGGGAAATGAATAAGAGCCGGTAGACCGAGCAATGCCTCGCCGCCCGATAAACGAATAAGCAGAGCCACTATGTAGGCAGAAAGACTGCCATAAGTGTTGCAGTGTTTCTTGAAATGTACGACCATCAAAAGCTGTGGAAATAATATAACATACACCAAATCGGAGCACATGGACCTGCAATTAAATTATGAAAATATGTATAATTCTTATTACAATTTTATTAACTACATATTTACTTACCAAAGCCCATAAATGGAGGGAATTGTGAGCGCCATTATAGTTGCAAGTATGCCCACAATTATAATTGCAACACGCATTACCCAAATAATTTCCATTTCGGATGCTTTCTGACGGAAAATCAACTTGTAAACATTGCGTGCAAACATCGAGGCGGCCGAGAGTACAGAAGAGTCAGCCGAAGACATGACAGCTGCGGAGACGGCGCCCAGGCCAAAGAATGATACAAAGTCCGGTGTGAGATACTGTAATACCATGGGTAGAATCATGCTAGTCTGATCGACAGTCAATGGATAGGGGCCAGTGTAGTCGGTTTCATTCCACGCTAAAGGTAAAAAGAGAAATGAGTTATGAGATATGTATGTTGGTACATGTGTGTGCGTATAAGTGTGTGCTATCCTAATGAATCCTAAAAGAGTATTGGTAGTCGAATTCGTTAATTCCAAGGTTTTGACCAATGGAGCTTTGAAGTAAGTTTATCTTTGTCTAACCAAAGCTGGACAGTCATATAGAATGCTTTCGAAAGTTTCCTTGTCCTCTAGGCACAACCATGATTCCGACTCTACGATAACACCTATTCGGTACATATGGAAACGTATGTAGTTGGTTGTAGCCTGTTAGATACCTGAAGGGTAGCCTAATGTCATTTTGGTTGAATTGAATAACGTCCGATCTATTTAAAGGGTAGCCAAAAAGCTTGGTGTATCAATGGCTCCCCACCGCCTCCCAGTACCTACGGCGTTCAGAGGGTATTCCTTCGTACTTATGGAAATAGTACTTGGATACTCGAGCATGTACATATAATAAAAAAAGTAACAGATGCAAAGTGTAATGAGACAAATCTGACAGTAGAGTAATGTGACCAACTATTTCATAGCTCAAAGAAGTACAAGGCCTGAACACCCAAATTCATAAAAACTAAATAAGACTTTAACTGGTTTATAAATTGAAAATTTTTATTAAAATGGGCACGTTCAGAAGGCGCAACAGCTCAGTAACTGTTGCGATTGCACATTCTGATCACGTTGTTGTTGTTGACTTCTGGTCAACTGAACAGTTGCGTGATAGATGATCGTAATATTCAGAAGACGCATAGCGATCACTGATTTTTTAGCAACGGTTGCGCTCAACTCCTGCGCCTTCTGAACCTACCCAATGTGACTTTACAGTTTTCCCAGCTGCATGCTCATATGCTCATGTTATTAATTTCGATTCAAATTAATCGTTTCAGTCCACTTCCGAATTTCAAACCTCACAACTTACAATTAGTAAAACAAACCCGCATCGTCTTTACCTGTGGCTTTTGCAATAGCGCCAATGAGTACCGGTGGAATTGCCATTAGGATGCAACCTGCCGCCGCAACATAGGACAACAGCTGAGCGCGACCAGCTGTCTTACTGGATAATACACGTTGGAAATACACCTGCCATGGTATACCGCCAAAGACCAGCAACAGGCCATAGTCTATGTAGAACCACTGCTTTTGCGGATCTACATGACCGATCCAATCGACCTCCATCGAAGACAAACTTTTCACATGATCATTGGCCCATGCAAAGGGTATGCACATCCATAGTCCAATAAAGATGCAAAACAATTGTATGACATCGGTATAGGCTACCGAATACAAGCCACCGAAAAGCGTATAGAAAATAGCAATGCAGGAGGAAAGTATCACCGAAGTGCCATGGTCCATGTCAATGATGACGGACAATGTGGCGCCTGCAAAAATTAAATATGTGCATACAACATTTGCTTAGGTTCAATTAAGACAGTAAAATCATTTATATTGTGGAGTACTCATACCTAAAGCAGCTAGAATTCCTGCAGCCCAGAATACCTCACCACAAAGTGCTGGCAAGAAAAGTAAACCACCCATGCGTTCACCAAAAGAGTCCTGTAGCGGATCCAACATTGTGATGTAACCTTGCTTACGCATGGGGTTAGCAAAGAAAATACCACCTGAAAGGAAATTAATTGCGAGGTTTACACATACACAAGCAAAGGTATTGAGAGTACATACATGACATCTGCATTGTGTGAACTTACCGAAAACTAAGCTTAAAGCATAACCAAACGGCGCCTGACACCATACCAGTCCCGACGTGTAAATAGCTTCCGCTGTACCGTTTATATAGCCACCACCAACCCAAGTTGCTGTGCAGAAGGAAGGAAGAAACATAATAGCAATATCAGTAATTGTTTCATCACACGGCAGCTAGGCATCCGTTAGGCATCAACCCAATTCTAATTAACCGTAAGCTCTTGAACGTCGCCCACTCCACTCACCGGTCATTGTGAATATGCCAACAAAAAGGCCAATGGAACGTCCTGCTAGCATCACCTCCTCTTCGGAATCATTGCCGGCCGCCTTCTTACGTCCCGCCCATATGCCAACGATTAGGATTAGCAGATAGAAGAGCACAATGCTCACAACACCAGCGATGTTAATCATTTTTGCAGTAGGTTGCGGTTCCTTGAAACGTGTACAATCACAAAATTATTATATCAATCGGAATGTTTTAATTCAGTTGGAGTATTGATCTCTTGTATGACTGAGTATTGACCTTGTCCGAGCTCAAGTCCGCTTTTGTTTTATTTAGCTGCCATTGCGATTGACATGACTGAAAAGGAAGCTAATTGAAAAGAAATTATGAAAGTGCAAAATATATGCATATATGTACAATATTTTAGAATAACATAAAATAATATATAATATATATAATTGGTAGAATGTATTATATATTTATTGAGAAAACAGACGAAATTTCGAATTTGAGGACGTTCTGTTTTGTCTTAGATCCCGCCCGTAGCGCAAATTCTGTGCGATTATGTAACTTACTTCTGCTAAACTATGATATAACTCAACATTATCTATTCTTCTACAGAAATTTTCTTTTCTCTTTCTCGCTATCCCATCTATTTATTTTAGTAATCCAGCAAAAAAAAATAAGGTAATTGCTTCTTGTGGTATAAATGAACATTTCTTGACTAGTTCAGGGATATTTCAAGACCATTTATTACCATTTCGGGACTAGTTCGGGACCGTTTCCGGGCCTGTTCAGGATCATTTTGGGATAAGTACACGACTATTTAAGAATAATTTTTGGTCTTGTGCTAAAGGATACGCTGCAGACCCACTTAGGAGTTAGCTGGGAATAATCTCAAATTGCTGCCCACTGGCGAAAGTCAAAGGGAATAAGTCAATCAAAGAGATTCATAACTCTTTCCAGGAGGAACTCCGAAAGACATATTGAACTTAGAACTCTTATTGGCTACCTGACAGCACATTGCAACCGTTTGAATTAAATGGGCCTTTCTATAGAGAATGACTGTAGGTTTTGCGGGCTGGTGAAAGAAACCCCAGATTACATTCTATGTGCCTGTCCAAGAAGCATGAATCGTAGATTGATACACCTTGGAGAACGATTGTCTTCTCCATCTAAACTTGGGAACATGGCATCATTCAAAGTGCTGAGCTTTTTAAATAGCATAAGTTTGGAGGGATTACAATTAGGATTTAGCACAACACGTATATCTTCTTAGTTCGCAGCGCGGGTATCTCTGACGTAATAATAATAATATCGTCACTAGACACGAATAAAGACGCTCGGGCGTTTTGATGGCGAAAAGGACGCGTGAAATAAATTTGAGAAAGGCTAATTCCATCTCTCTCTATATTGTCGATTTAAATATGGACAGTGGTGTGGGGTGCTTTCTGCAAAGCATATCAAAATAGCGCCCGCAGGTCCGTCTATAGGGGAGGGGTTGGAGTTGTTTCCCTGCCCCTTGTTTTGAGTTAGCTTCTTATCAAACAATGGCAAAGAGCACTAAAGAATCCCGCTTTGTTTGCAGAGTGCTTTGGTCTTGATAGGCAACTGCTCAGAAACATCAAAATTATTTTAAAATGTTTACCATGTACCATTAACCGTTTTAAAGCGTTTCCCATCGGTGCTGCTGAAATCTACATCAAAACCTATGAATAGTATCCAAATAATCCGCAACATTCTAGTACACGGCAGTGAGTGAATAAGGTACAGTCCTCTGCCAGTAGCACTGAAGAATGAAATAAAGACTATAAAAATGACAGACTTCCACCCAGCAGAAAATTTAGTAGATCTGCGAACTGGTCAGATGTTTTTTATAGAGCAACGGTTTCGACAAATCCCCTTAATTTCAAGCTAGAATGTAAACGTACTCCTCGATGTGGAACTTACAGACAAAGAAGAAATACCTAAAAAATATACATACACACACAAATAAAAATAAATTAAATACACAAAATTTAAGAAATGAAAAGAAGTCAAAAATAAGTCCAAATATAGCCCTGCAGCCTCCACGTGGTGCATCCTGGATACTGTATTTGTCGTAGGCTAACTGCAGGCGTTACAGTAAAACTTTTAATTCGTTATAAATAGACTGCGAATGTTTACACCCCTATTCTAACAAAGTAACAAAACTCAGCGCATGATTAATGTGATTTCTACTGCGCTCGAAAATATGCTACAAAAATTAGATTTTAAGTACTAAAGAAATGCACGCAAATTTAAACATATTTTTTTATAGCGGCATATTTGTCATAGCAGCATACTTTGAAGCGGAGTAGAAATCACAATAGTGATGCGCTGAGTTTTGAGACTTTGTTAGAATAGAGGGGTTATGCCGAAAGCGAAGCCTAAAAACATTTACCACTTAACTGCATATAAAAACTATAAGCAAAATGTGGGAATTTTTTGAAATCTACATATATACATTTTGTTTATAGTTATGTGGCACATATTTTTTGGCTTCGTTTTCTGCATAAATATCCGCAGTCTAGTTATAAACCACTTAAAAACTCTTTTTCATCAGGTATTATAAAAATTTAGTTAAAATTGGCATAAATTCTTTATATACTATACTATGTGAAACAAAATGATCCCAAAATCTAAATATTCAATGGGCCTTCGTATGCATAAAAACTGAGCAATTGCTTTTTCTTAAAATTTCATACCTTTCACTTGAATTTATGTGAACAAATTGAGTAAAAGGTCTGAAATTTTAGGAATAAGCATTTGATTAGGTTTCATGCATACGCCCCAATTTACTTGGTTAATGTCTATTTAGTATAAATAGGTCGGGTGACAAAAATTTTAAGAATTTTAAGTTTCATATAACTTCCCGTACGCTTAGGGGTCAGTATAAGATTGAGATCACCTGAATTCGACAGATTAGTATTCTTTTGAAAAACGTTACTTTATAAAGGTATGAACGTGAATCAATTTACTTGAATCATGGGGCAAGTGTTCATTTATTTATATGTAATTAGATGGTATAGGCCATTCAATCAATTGCAGAACTTTATTTCGGATAATTTTCGCCAATTATTTCCTTCCCCTTAGGTTTCCCTAACTAAATTAAATACATGAATCACGCCTCAAAAATCTTATCACCGACAAAAGCTTCGGGATTTTACCTAAGGTGATTTTAGAGGCGATTAGTTGAATCAAAAGTTGGTTGCCTTCCCAACTTCATTGGAAGCGATTAGTTGAAAGGCCGTTCACACCAGGCGATTGTTACTTTCAATTAAAAATTTGTCTGTCAAATCGCCTTATTCGGAATCTTTCCTAATATATGCTTTAAAAAGCTTATTTTGCATATTTTTTGCAATTTTGTTGATTTTGTTGATTTTTGCATATATTCGACTTGCCGACTTGCGTGCCTATTTTTGCATATTTGGCAAGATTTCATACATTTTCGGCGGAAAAGAAACGATAGATTCGTGAAACAAGGCGCATTGTTTTTTTATAATCGTGCTACCACCTTGTACGAATTCGCCTTGATACAATGCAAGAATATATACATACATGAAGAATCCGAATAGATTTGGCGCTCATTAAGGCAAATTTGGTAGTTTGATAGTAGGTATAAGAAAGTTTCAAAAAAAATGTTTGACATTAAAAGACAGTTTGGAAATTTATGACAACTGTGAAAGAGCACTCAACTGGCAGTGAACACAAACACGTATATTAAAAAAAAAAAACCTTTTAAGTATATTGGCCAGAGGCCCTGGCTATACGACATTTGCTTATATAAGAGATATATTATTTACTGGCTCCGCAACTAAAATGAAGATCTATCGAAGTACTCCCTAGCAGAACTAAGTTTATTTAAATATTTTTCTCTTAAATAATAATAATAAAAAAATATCTACGGATGTGGAAAGGAGTTTTTGAATTTTTTAACGACCAGAGAAGATCATTTTCAATTGACAATTTAAAAAAGCATGTTATTTTGTACTGCCATTCCGAAATTGAGTAAAAATATTGCAAAATTAGATAAACCCCCCGATTCTGTGCACTTGTCATATTTGCCAATAAATTTGGGCCTAAATTATGCTGCAAAGATTTAATTTTAGGCGCTTTAAAAATACACAACCAATTTAACAAATACAGACAAATCTTAGCGGCATAATTTTAGGCGCAAATCCATTGACAAAGAGCATATTTTGGTGATTTAAATTTGACGAAAATTTAGCGTAGCGTTTGCGAGAATCCCACTGCTGGTCGAGAGATATATAAAAACATTCTAAAGCGGTCGCCCCAGCGCAAACAGTAGCAAACCTTCGGCCTGATTTTGCCATGAAAAAGCTTTTCATTAAAAAAACAAAAAAAAAAAAAGCATCAGTGCTCAGAGGAGGCATAAAACTGCAGACGTCTCTCGACACCTATTACAAATTAAAGGAGAAACTCGGTCCATTTTCGCATTTTACTCTACCTACCGTTATATTCAAACAAACAAGTTTACAAGCATTTCCAATGCCATCCATAAAACTTTTCCCACATTTCACCTGCAAACGTACAAAAAACGAGAGCGGAAAAGACACACGCATGCTCAAATAAATCGAGCCAATTCATTCACAAATACTTTTTACTGGAAATTTGGAGCGGCAAACAAACAAAAATAAAACTAAACACAGCACATACTCATTTTTTCAAAAGCATACTTATAGGCAATGGAGCACGGCTGGAAAGTGACGACAGGAAGAGGTCGAACGAGGTGCGTGAATAGAGAGAGAAAAAGAGCACCAGAGATGTAGACACGGCTAAAGGAGGTAGCCAAACTTAAAAAAGAACAAAGCACACAGATGAGATACATACACACATACATACATATGCACGTAAGTAGAAGTTCCTTCGTGTGCATTGTTTGCTTTTCTGATTAATGATTCAAAAGACTTCTACAGATAACAACTGACTCAAAACAATTTGCGTTGTATTAAAAAAAAAAACATTATGCAATACGAAAATCGAAATGCAATAAAATCCAAATCTGAAAAACTGCGAACTTTGTATATGACTACTTAGGTATATATAAATACATATGTATGTACATATATAAGAAAATTTTACGTAAAATTTTTTACAGCTTAGCAAAAGTTACGAAACTTTCTTCAGTTTTGAAAGAATATGCTTATTTTTAATCTAGAAAATATGCACATACACACACACATACATAAATTTTACTCAATAACTGTTTCACACCTTTCGAGCTTAAACGCTTCAAATTTGTTCGATGTCTGCTACTTTGATTTTTTAAATTTGACGATTTTACTGGAGTTAAGACTGGACGTGAGACGTTTCAGCCACTTATATAATTACTGCTTTGTCGCTGGAGATATGAATTTTTTGGATTATTTTTTTTTTTTGTAAGTAAAAGCCGCGCACACAAAATTTTCATTTATAGTAGACAGCAGCTATCGCCCCAGCGTAGGGACGTCTTTTGAGACGGACTATTTCGCGTTTTAAAATGTAGCCCGCACATGTGCTCGAACAATTCTCGATTCACGAAACGCTCGCATCAAAACGTTGGATATTCGTTCGTTCGTTTTCTATAAATCGAGTTGAAGTAAGTTTTAATTTTCGTCCGCGTTATATAATGTTCGATTCAAGTTTAACGATTTTTTCTCGTTTCCACTATTTTAGAGCTTGTGCGCCTATTAATTGCCAATAGAATAAATTGACGATCGCAAACCGAAAATCAACACCAACCATCTACGCACTGCATTAGCACACACACACACTGCAAAATACACAGCCAAAAATATTTAACGCTCTTTTCAGTGTCCGCCACTTGGCTGACAACACTCATTGACAGGTAGGTGAGCAGTTGTGGGGATCAGGTAAGTACGCCTAAATGTATGCTTTGATTGGCGCTCGACTACTCTAACGGCTTTTGCTTAACATCCGTCTAATATGTGAGTGCACTGGCACTTCAACATGATGATTTTTTTTTAATAATTTTTGAGTATTTTACAAATTTTTTTTTTTAATTCAAAATTAGCTCAGAACTGTATGTATTTTTTTTATTTTTTTATTTTATAGCGGTCATCACAAACCGGCGCTTAAGTCCGTGCGTACGTATCGGTGGCAAATTTGTAACTGATTGCCTACGCCTGGAAAATTTCCTGTGACGGCATTTTATTGTACAATGCATTTTCTATGTGTGCATTCGTGATAGACAGAGCCCCTGATTCATTTGTGGAAGTGGTCGAAATTTGTGAACGATTGGAATGGAGGGGAACATATGTAAACATATGTATGTACAGTAGCGTGGAAACGTTGGAAGTGTAACTAAATTTGTATAAAAAAAAACACATACATATGTATATACATATGTACACTGCCGGAAGAAAGTATTAGCACAGCAAATTATTCGCAATATATGCAACAATTTTTTTTCTAATATTTTTCCGCCAATTTTGTATAAAAATATTGTTCATTCAACAACAAAAAACATAAAAATATAATTCCTAAACTTTGTGCAAAACTCGCGAAATTTTCTGCAAATTTTCATCAAAATTTTCAACTTTATAATCAGATTTTTTAGAATTTTTTTGAGTATGCAGTTTTGAGACCTCTAAATTCTAGTAAAAAAATGGTGTTTTGCATTTTTTCCATATAAAGAATTTTCGAAAAAACTTGTTTGTATGGAAGAGACTGCATGAAAAAAATATTGCCAAAAATCAACGGTCATTCCTAGCTAAAACTTGCACTTTATTATCATGAAATTGATTGGGCTACAAATCTGCATACTCAAAAAAATTCTAAAAAATCTGATTAAAAAGTTGAAAATTTTGCTGAATTTTCGTGAGCTTTGCACAAAATTTAGGAATTATTTTGGTATGATTTTTTTTTTTTGTAGAATGAACAAAATGTGAATGTGAAAAATTTCAACAACTCCCCAGGAAAAATTCCCAGTCCTTCTCAGTAGACTTGTTTGTTTTGAATACTTTTTAGAGAATAAGCTGATTTACAAGCACTCCGTGCCAATGTTTTACAATTACAATTTGAATACAATAGGCCGTATGAATAAAACTTAACCAATTGGTTTTTCTTGAAATTTCAGACGTTGTACTGAATTTGTTCAAATAAACTTAAGTGGAAGGTATGAAATTTTGGAAAAAGCAATTGCTTAGTTTTTATGAGACAGCAAGTTGACCACGGTGGAGAATACAGAAGGTTGCGCCGATGGCAATACCGCTAATCGGCTCTCAGTGAATTTGACAGAATCAGCTGTTTTGCTGACGTCACAGTCGAGTTGACAGCAGTAGTGATGTGCTGAGTCAATACTTTTAAGTATCCAATACTCTCTATACTCGGTACCGAAACACTTAGGTTTCGAATAAATGCGCACATAGGCCAAAAATATGGAAAAAACAGTTCAGGGGAGACCCACCTTTCAAAACCCGAATGTAGGAGCCAATAGCATATCTCAATTTATGATCCGCTCTTTTTGGTTTGTGTCACTGATAATATGGCAGTACGCAACAATGATAGAATACCAGATTGCGCCAATCGAGCTGAGAACAACCGGGCGTGATGCACGGTGCAGTGTACAAAGGTGGCGCCATCAGTAGTACCGCTACTTTGGTTTTGCCGATTTTGACAGTTGTGGTAACTTGTAAATAAACCTTTGTTTACAAATCAGCGAAAGAGAAATTTGAATATAAGTGAAAAGTCAGTTTAAATTGTGTTAATTTGCAATTTGTGAGTGATTTTTGAGTTGAAGACTGCATAAAAACTAATAAAATGAAGTGCTATGTGTTAAATTGCGACAGTCGTCAAGATGCAAGATGCGCAGATGCAAGTGTAGCGCTGGGACGAATCGCTGCATTTTGTGTACAAGGGGCACGGCAAAACCGTTCCCGAAATGTTTATTATTATATTAACAGCATTTCCTCACAATGAGTTTGCTTCTGCTCCAAGCAGGCTCCATTAGCAAGTTAATTAATCAATCCTGCTGAGATGCTGCCGCAGTTTTCTGTTGGAGCCTTAATTGCAAAGCAATGAAGTGCACTAAAACGTTACCTTTTCTCTAATAGATTAGGTGAAAAATGCAATATTTTCGCATTTAGCAAAATTAAAACACGTTTTTCGCTGTAAAGTGAACTGTTTTGGCAGTTTCAACTCGTTTTTCTTTTCGCTCTATTGTTTGTTTACTTGTGGTACACAAATGTCAACGCCCAGGACGGCGCAATCTTGTATTCTATCATTCTTGATGCATATACTATGTGATCGATAAAGCAGTCGTTTTATTTAACCGGAGCTTCTACCTTCGATTAGTGCTAATCAGACAATGAACAACCGACCCTAAGGGCCGGTTACTCAATGTCTGTTTAACACTAATCTACGGTTAAACATTTTATTGACGTCTTCTGTTCCATGCATACAACAGGGAGTCGGTAACGTCGATAACTATGTTTAACCGCAGATTAGTGTTAACCAGACATTGATTAGCCGGTCCTAAGCATGCATAACTGGGCTATACTACACGATATGTATTTGCATATCGACTGCTGAGTGAAAGATCGACGTATCTCGGCAGCCAGTTCGAAAACGCACTATCTCAAAAAGCTTTTCAAGAATGCCCATTTCAAAATTTTATTGAAAAACACCCTTTCTCAGTATTTGGTTGAAGAACGCCCTATCTCACTGCAAAATGTATTGGAAATGTGCTGAGATAGAGAATTTTCAAGCTGGCTGCCGAGATAGGTCGATCTTCCACACAGCAGTCGATATGTAAATGGTAATTTTTTGTATCTACTCGTATGTATCTTCAGCGGCGGATCCAGAATTTTCTGATGGTGGTTTGGCAGAAAATTTTGCCCCTTATTCTAATTACCTTAAACGAGCAATTTTTGTGTATATGTATATGTACATATACTTTTTACAGAAAATAACATGGCGCCGAAATTACAAACGTCAGCCAGAAAATTACTTTTTTCTTTTGCTCCATCTTGTCAGATCTTGTGTAGTTGGATCATGGGTTACAAGAGAGTACAGAATGCGAAAAAGGTTTAAAAATTGACATACACTTTAATTACCGGTTACAAAATTTATGTTACCAGCGCAGAATAGACCTGTAAAGGGCCGTTTACATAAAGGCTCTGTTATGCATACTTGGCATTGCATGCACTGCTATACCATTTTTACGTAGAAATCAAAAACCAACAGACTTTTACGTATGTAATGCTGTGCGTTGGGTAACCGCTTACACGCGAAGCTCATTTAACAGATTCCTTATGTGACAACTCTCAAGCAATGCCAAGTATGCATAACAGAGCCTAAAGACTTTCCTCGCTTTGCTTGCCAGTTCGAACTTTGACAACAAAGCGTGAGGCGTAGAACGTATGCTACAATAAACGCTTTGACAGCTTCTGCGTTCTCCTTTTCCTCCATATTTTATCTATGTAAAATATATAACAATACAATATGCATTAATAATAGTAATACGAATTCCTATTTACCTTATTTTTGTCATTAAATGCAAATGCAAGCGCACGCGAAAAGATAAATGCAGACAGCTAATTGCCAAAGCGCGCAAAAGTTGAGAGTTGCCCATAATTTTGCTTCGCTTTGCTTTCCTCGCATTCTATTTAGCAAGACTCATATAAAATCCTGTATTGAACTTATCACTCAAAACGAAATTATGAAGCAAAGCGAAGCAAATGTCTTATGTAAACGGCCCTTAAGAGTGTGCACAAAATATACAACTATCGATAGTGCTAAGAAAAATTCTATAGTGGCGTAATATGAAACCATCGATGCTATCGATAGCACCATCGATAGTTCTCCATCATTTAGTCTGTTCCTTTGAACTTCGGACTAAAACCTGTGGAACTGTCAAACTACAATTTTACTCTCTCAAATGAGAGTAAAAGGAGAACAGATGCAAAAGTGCATAGGAACGCAAAAAGCACTATTTCCTGTAAAAACGTCAGTCGGTTTGTTTACAAGTCATTTGTACAACACTGATTTAGCTGAAATATCACTAAATAATTATTATAATTATTAAAATCTATACATATTCGACATTTCGTTGTTTACTTCCATTTTTTTTACAAATGTAAGGTACTTTGCTTTCACTGCAGTTAGTTTTTGCTTGCACATGCAAATCAGCTGACCGTTTGACACTTTTCATGAACTTACAGGAAAAGAAACTCCGGACTAAATCCTGTAACTTCTGACTAGGAACAGTTGCACAGTTACTCTCTCAAATGTGTTCCCACTTACAGGTTTTACGTCAATAGGAACGACTTCCTGTAAGTTCTGACTAAATCCTGTAAACCGGACTGCTATTGGAACAGACTAATTATTATTCAAGGTAAATTGACAATCAGCTGTTAGTGGTAACATTTGCTATTCGATATGCGTATTGTTTTATTCACGAAACGTTTTTTAAAAATTGCTTTTGTTAAGTGCTTCAACAACAGAATAGTAAAATATCCTAAGTTATTCAACAAGAATAGCATACTATACTCTGACCTTTAATAACATAATCAAAAAGTAATTAGATTCATAGGAAAGCGCTAAAATGGACGACTTTAAAATCCCGCAGTTGCCGCCACCGGCAGTTATTAAACAAAGTGGGGATTCAGAGCTGAAACCTGAGCAGCCCAATAAAGACGAAGAGTCAATAAAAACAGATCAAATGCCGACCCCCAGCGGTTCAGCACCAGTTTGTCCTTACAAAGTTCCACCATGGTCACAGCCGCCTCCTGGTTCTATCAACTACAAATTTGAGATTTTAAAGTCAGGTCAAATTATAGATGAAATTAAGAATTTACAAACAAAGGCTATGTGGAAGTTCGGTCGGTTAGCACCACCTGCCAATGATCTCGAACTAGCACATCCAACCATTTCCCGCTTTCATGCAATTCTACAATATCGACCGGGAAAACGAAGTACGCAAACCGGTGATGAAAATTCAGATAAGCCTACAGATGATCCGCCAGAGGGCTGGTATATTTACGATCTAAATAGCACACATGGAACATTTTTGAACAAACAACGTATACCACCTCAGGTGTTTATACGAATACGTGTTGGTCACATGTTGCGACTGGGTGCTAGCACTCGTTCCTACATTCTGCATGGCCCGGCAGAAGATGAGGAACCGGAATCAGATTTAACCGTAACGGAATTGCGAGAGCAACACAGGCAAAAGCTACTTGAAACTGCAGCTGAAGCGGTACGGAAAGCCACAGAAGCAGAGGAACGTGAACGAAATGAAGGAATCAATTGGGGCATGGGGGAAGATGCAGATGAAGAAACTGATTTGTCTCACAATCCATTTGCTAGCACAAACAACGAAGAATTATTTCTCGATGATCCTAAGAAAACTCTACGAGGATATTTTGAGCGCGAAGGTCTACAATTAGAGTACAAGTGCGACGAAATGTCTGCAGGATCATTTGTTTGTCGCGTAGAATTACCAATAGGAGATGCATATGGCCGAGCCATAGTAGCTGAGGTGGTGCATAAAGGACGAAAAAAGGAGTGTGTAGTGCAATGTGCACTGGAAGCTTGTCGCATACTCGACCGACATGGCGTTTTGCGCCAAGCAAATCAAGGTAGAAAACACTAATTGATTACATAGCTAAATATTTAATTATTTATACATTCAAATTTCAGAACCATTAAAAAAGAAGGTAAAATTACAATCCGATTCTGACGAAGATGACTTTCTGGACCGAACAGGAGATGTAGAAAGAAAGAAGCAACGCAAGTCGCACCCTTCTACAAACAATGCACTAACATACGAAGATTTGGTAAGGAATAGCATGTATTCATTTTGGTTACAAATATTGAAGTCTTTTTACTCTTTTTTAGCTTAAAAAAGATTCGGAAATTGAGGAACAACTTCAGCGAGTGGAGGACGATATATCACGATATCAAGAAACCCAACGACGTCTAAAGGCATCCCAATCTAATAATACTGATGACTTAGATCACTTTATGGAAAACCTAAAGGATGACAACCTTCTAGATAAAACGGAAATACGCAAATTAAGGGTTCGTAGTCTGCCATGCATCTTTGATGATACTTCTTCTTAAATAAGTATATGGCATTCATTTTTACCTGTTTTTTTCCTTCAGTTGGAGCAACAACGACTCATTGGTGAAAAACAAAAAATCCAACGGTTAATAAAAATTGCGAAACCAATAGACTTGTTATTCGAAAAGTCAACGGAAAAGAAAAATTCAACGAAAATTAGACAGCTGCCAATGATTGGTAAGCGCAATCAGTTTAGCAAATTCAAAATAGCCCCGATGGTCAAAACAAACCAAATCAAGGAAAAAGTAACCCATACAGACTTAGCCTCCGATGAGGAAGAAATAGAGGATGATGAAGAAATTAGCTTACATTTAACATCGATTCCAAAAAAATCTTCTATTTCTGGAGATGAAAGTGAAAGTAAAACAAAACGAGAAAATAGGGCTGAAGAATATGTTGAAACATCCCCCAATTCCAAGGAGAGTACAAAAAAGGTATACGGGCCTGCTGTGGTACCGCGTGAATTGTTAGACGGCGATGATCTAGTTACTCCAGCAGAAGACTCCCTAAAGCCACAAGGTGCAATGCAGTCAACGGAAAGTACCTGCGGTATTGCGGACACTGAAGCGGAGAGTGCGAAAAAAAAGCGAAGGCAACGGCAACGACAACGACAAAAACGGCTAGAAAGTGATATAGACGAGCTGGAGAAACACGAATCCAGTGATAAGTATGCGAAGTGGGTACCACCACCCAATCAAAGTGGTGATGGATACACAGAATTGAATGAAAAATATGGATACTAAACCACGATTATCTGATTGTATAACATTTACAAAATATATTACTTTTCGCAATTCCCCTCATGTTACGCTAAAAGAAAAATTATCAAATACGTATACAAATTTTATTTTCTTCAACAATTTCACAAGGAACTAAAACAAGTTAACTGCCTTTTGGTCGTGCCAGTTCAATAATCCTAGGTGATGCCTTGGCTTTGAGTGCAGCCGGAGAGATTACGAATGGATTTTCCCGAATATGAGCATTGTCAAATTCCTTTGGTTCTGCTAACTCCTTGATGCGTGCAGTAGCGCGCGCTTTCAGTGCATTCGGTGATATTGAGAAAGGATTCTCCTTGAGGTCTGATTCGGCTACACCTTTCTCGCGGGCAGTAGCCAACTCTTTAGTACGTTTTGTAGCTGGGGATAAAATTTGTAAAACAATAATTGTTTTAATTTTATAAACAATGTTTTGAGGAAATCAAAGTACCTTTATGCGTTAAAGCAGCAGGATTAACCGGTATGGGCAAACTTTGAATAATCGCAGACTCATCAAACATTTTTGGTTGCGCGATTTTCAGTATTCGTTCCGTGGGCTTGTAAAATTTCATTCCTGGAGTAAGCAACCAAGGTTCTTTTGGTGGTTCTTCACGGGTTTTCGGTAGTGCCAGCTGTTTAATTCGGCCCATCTCTTCAAGTTTCTTTTTTTTAACTGGCTGTAAAATATAAAACAAATTTGTGGGCATACAAATTTAGGAATACAATTAATTTTTGTAAAAAAGAAATTCCTATGCATGTTACTAGTTTAGGCTGTTTGGGTTCTTTTTTAGGCTTCGCCAATTTTTGAAGATATTTCGTGTGATTCTTCCATTCAGTGTCATCCCATTTATGTATTGGAATTCTGTAAAACAATTTTTTTTATTTTATTTTAAGTGTAATAAATTATTAATTAGATCATATTTTACTTTTTCTGAGGCGGTTGTATATTACTCAAGCGACTATACACAGAAAACAGGCTTAGACGTATTAAACGATTTATCCCCAATATTCTTAAAGGTTCAAAAAAATCCTTCACTCCATTCTTGAACAAAAGCAGCTTTCTGCGCCAACACGCATACAAATAATTACGATTACCAAAAATAAATGTAATTCTTCTATCTTACCGCACACCCGGCAGGGCTAATTGTTCAGTGCGTGTTCGCATGGGTGTTTCTCGCACAAATTCAATTGGCTTTTTATATTTACATGGACATTTTGGTATAAATTTTCCCCTCATATACCTTGTTCGCTGAGCCATCCGCAGTATTCGCTTGCGTTTCGTGAACATATTTTTGTGGCGCCCCACTAGTCGTTGCCAACTCTTGCTTATACCCGGCAAAAAACAACTTATGTTTTCGGGCAGTTTATCAAATGTAGGACAACATTTTGTACTCTTTGAAACCTTATGCATCTTAGTTTTTTTATATGAAGTATTTTTATATTTTTTGCACTAAAGATTTTGTTTCGTGTTTCACAACTTATTTATGTATGTATTTTGAAAAAAGAAACCAAAAATTCTATTGTAGACTTTCAAGAGCATTGAAACTGAAACAAGTGAAAAAGTGACTCAAGTGATACTAATTTCGTCCACTGAGTCTGAGTCAAAGTGCATTTTTTTTTTTGCAATAGTAGTGAGTTAATTTGTCTTGTGCAGAAATCAAATTCCATAATTACTTTCGGTAATTAGTCAGTGCATTTCAAATCTTTGTGATACGATGAAAAATGCATTGGCCCTTTGCCTGTAGGCTTATATGAACATGGAATAAGAACTCTCATTTAACTTAGGTATAACTTTTTATTAAATAAAAATGTTAACTTAAAATTAATTTATATCGCATGCAATAATTTGCACTCAGTCTCTTTTACTTCTAAACTATAACTGATGGAAATGCCTCATTTACGCAACTAAGTTCCAATTAGGCAATTAACCGTGGTTGGGCATATTGGACATTTCCATCAATTATAGTTTAGAAATAAATGCGTCTGATGCTTTGTCTTGATGCATTTCTGAACACACCCCTAGTTCCCTCAGATGGGGCGTAATCCTTGCCCGCAGTGCTCTCGGCGACACTTTAAATACACGTGTGTGTTTGTCAAGGAATTCCCTGGGCTCTGCTAGCTCCATTATTCTTTGCGAAACCTTAGCTTTTAGTGCACTGGGATTTATTTTGAATGGAACTTCCTTAACTTCTGGTTTGTGGCGATAAATTGGTGGCGAGGCTTATCCTTTAATACCTTCAGTGGCTGAAAGAATAGAGGGTGTTAGTTTTTATTCTATTTTAATTTTTCCATAATTGCAAGCAAAGTATTACGACCTTTTTTTTGGATTAAATTTGAGCGAATATGCATTTCAAGTTTTATAATTGGTAGTTTTTCTGACATATACGGGTCTCATGTGTAGCGAAGCGAGTTCGCGGTAGGATCCTGAAAATTCAACGGTTACCCTATAAACTGAACAGCCACAGTTTAAGTTATTCAGATTTCTTAAAGTCCAATTAGTAATACTACTTAGGTATAAGTTATTTATTCAAGGCAGTTAGCAACCAAGAAATTTAACAAAGCTTTTCGCAATTCAATAGTAAACATTTTTTTTTAACAAAGTTTTCGATTACTTTTTAAATTACTTGGAGGAATGGAAATTAATTTTTATTTTTCAATTCATTTGAATTGAATTGAAAAAATCAATTACATTTTCAATTTCTTTCAAAGGAATTGGAGAAGAATTATATTAGGTACGAGCACGTAATTTATTCCAATTACAATATGAAATTCCTTGTAATGGAATTAAAAAAAAAAAAACTATTACATTTGAAATTACTTCCAAGGAATTGAGAAAGTAATCAATTCCTTTGCTGTGGACTGAAAGAATTGATTGAATTGAGGAATGTAATTGCATTTACCCAGCTCTGCCTACACTTAATATTGATCAACGAAAAATCCATAAATTAATACTTTTTTGGTCCCCTGTTGTTGTTGTTGTTGTTGTTGTTGTTGCAGTGGCTTCTCTTTCAACCAAAACTTTCGCGATCAACAGGTATAAACTGAAAATTTCAAACACAATTTATTATCGCTCAATGGCAGCTTTGTCTACTCGCCCTTGACCTAAAATAAGTGAATTGAATAATTTAAAAGTAAGCAGCTACTTAAACCTATACTGCTCTTAAGGCGAATTAAAATGCAGAAAAGGTATTAAAAGTGTTTGCGATGCAAAGAACTTGCACAAGCTGGTAAAAGCGAACACTCTTAATGCATATTTAAGTTGCGCTCGCCAATCCATTCGCTTCGCCAAACCGTACGCTTCGCCAAATTCATTCGCATCGCAAGTGATAATACCGCCCTAGACCTTTATCGCCTATTGTTTATGGGTAATAAATAAACTTTCCAAAATCATATACATACATATGTATTAATACAACTGATTTTATTTCATCTTAATTTTTTCGTCAAATAAGTAAAGTTCGGGACATACATATACTACATGCATGTATGTATGGATGTGCGTATATGGCATGCCAAACATACATACATACATATGAAGCGAGCTTTTCTATGAATTTAGTTATATTTTTTGTCACATGCAATTTGATAAGAGTACAATTTTATAAATATGTATACATAATATAGACAAAACAAATAATACATTAGGATTTATATAAGATGGTGTCTGCATGGTTCACAACAAATAGCTGTGGTTCATAATCAAAAGGCCAGCAAATAAATATTAAACAATTAAGTTACATAGGTATTATGTTACATAGGTATTGGATCTTAAAATTTTAACTACATATTTTGTGCTTGTAAATTTGAATTAACATAAAACTTGATCACCATCCAAGGCTTTTAGATATTCCGCGGTTTTTTTTGTCAATGGGAAGTTGCATTTAACAAAGGCTTTACATAAAATGTTTACGAAAAGTATATACTCGCCAAATTAATACTTAGTATCTACTAAAAACAATGTTTGGGGTAAATTCTTCATAACGTGGGTGTTTGACGAAATTTTTAGCCTGCTTGAATGACCGTCTTTCAATTTCACTGAAAGCAGACATTTACCGTTGTTTTTAAGCTTTGATTTAATGTGTTACATATTTTTAAAATTTTCTTTCGGTTGTCTAGTGGATGTTGGCAATGACAGCTCTTGTATAGTCTTGTGTGGTCGACTGGCCACCCAAATCCTTGGTTCGTACTTTACCATCTTTTAGAACCTTGTTGACGGCGTTGGTTATCAGTTCACTGTAGGTTGGCAAGTTTACATGACGCAACATTTTTGCGCCGCAGAGCAGCATAGCAGTAGGATTTGCCACATTTTTGCCTACAGCTTCTGCAAAGGTATGACGTGCACCCTAGAATATATAGAGTTTAATAAAACACGAGTTTTAGTAGTAAATTTAGCATCATACCGGCTCGAATACGACAGTTTCAGCAGAATATGATGCGCCAGCCACCACTCCGGCACCTCCAACCAAGCCAGAACCGATGTTGTCAAGAATATTACCATACAGGTTAGGAGTAACCATAACGTCGAACTGAAAGTTAACAAGCATATGATAAATATATGACAAATAATCTCAGAATTAGGATTGCTACCTGGTTTGGTCTTTGAACCATTTGCATAGTGGTATTGTCGACAATCATTTTTTCGAATTGTATACGTGGGTATAATTTGGCCATTTGTTCGCACGACTTAAGGAAAAGACCATCTCCCAACTTCATGATGTTGGCCTTGTGCACAGCGGTTACCTTCTTGCGGTTATTTTTGGTTGCATAATCGAAGGCGAATTTAGCAATGCGTATCGACTTTTTGGAAGTAATGATTTTTAAACATTCAACAATGCCTTTCACAGACTCATGCTCAAGTGCCGAATATTCGCCTTCAGTTTGCTCACGAATAATGACTGTATCGATGTTCTGGTGGCGGGTTTTTACATTTGGCAAACTACGAACGTGTACTACATTCGCATACAGATCCAGTTGTCTACGCAATTTCATATTTAGCGTTTCAAGTTCACCAGCAACGCTATAATCCGGTGTAGCCAAAATTCCCTGAAAGTTCAAAAGAATTTGTAAACACATACATAAAAACAACTCAATCTTTTTTATTATCCTTACTTTTATGCACACTTTATTTTTCTGAATAGAACCGACTACATCTTCCAGTTTGGCACTCAAAATTGGGTTAACCTCTGAAAGAAAATAGTTTTCAAAGTCCACTGGTGCGTTGGCAGCCTTGATATTAATAGTAAAAACGAGTATTTTTAAATAAAGCAAGCAAATTGAATTTTTTAACTATCAATACCTTGAAAACTTCCTGGAGGGCATAAACCAATTCAGGGCCCACACCGTCGCCTGGGATAAGCGTACAGGTAACGCGGCTGCCAAGAGCGCCAGCATCCTGTTGGGCATTACAGTTAGAATAAAGAAGCGTGTATCAGACAATTACTTACCTGATTTACCGCTGATGTGGTGTGAATTGAGCGGACAGCCGATGCCTGAACAATATAGTGAGATTAGATTTTATTTAATAATATTTTCAACCCAAGGATTATAACCTCAAAT